GGGAGGTGAGGGGGGGGGGGGGGGTTAATATAATAATAACAACAATAATAATATTTATACATTTTATTTACACTGGTGTCGTCAAACAGTTACCTGGTAAAATAAAGATTAAATCACATGTGTGGTATAAGTTTATACGTTAAATATATTTGTAATAGGATCCGTGCGCCCCCTGTAGGTCAGTCTGGGTCTTGAAAAATCCTTTTTGTTTTTTGTAGGTTTTTCAAAAAAAGACTTAAGATAAAAAACTATCCTATAATCTTCAGTTTAATTGACAACTGGGTTTATAGAAAAAAAATCCAAATAGTAAATATGTGTTTACTATGTAAATACTATTCATAGTAAGTACCAGTCCAGCAAGGTTCACCAAAGTCCATTTATAGGACCAACTAGATAATGTTGTCACAGTTGTATTTAAAAGGTTATCTCAGTGACACAAACTGGCCACAGGAGGCAGCAAAAGATCCGCAGCATCTTTTCAAGTGTTTCTCTCTGGTGGACCAGTGATTTGTCCAGTTTGTCTGGACTGTCATCTTTCTACATACTGACGTCTTTTTTTCTTCTCCTCCGTACCATCTTGTAGTGTTCAGTAAAGAGCAGGAGAAGGAGAAGAACCTGGAGGAGGACCACAGCGCCCCCCAGTCTGCCTTCCTGGGCCCCACGCTGTGGGACAAGACCCTGCCCTACGATGGGGACGGTTTCCAGCTGGAGTACATGGACCTGGAGGAATTCCTGTCTGAGAATGGCATTCCCTCTAGCCCCGCCCACCATCACCACCACCAACACCACCACCAGCACCAACCGCCACCAACTCCAATCATGCTGCCAGCCCCACCCACACCTGCGTCCACAGTGATGGACCTGAGCAACCACGCCTCCACCTCAGTCAACACAAACGTCGTCTCTGGGGACTGCCTCCACGACAGTCCCATCAAAGCAGGTGAGGGCGCTAACAAGCTAACGAGCTTCTTTACGTTGAACCACGAGCTCTATGGAAGAGGTACATTAGCGCAAAGAGAGTTTGACTGCCCCCTGCTGCCACACGGTTCATTTCAGCAAAAATCTACGTTGTGTTCAGTCTCAGTGCAAACTGTTCCTACAGGAAGTTTGTGAAGGAGTCAGTTGGACAACAACAGTCGGTGACGAACGTTGATCCACTGATGTTTCCATCACTAAGTCCTGAAGTGTAATAACAGTGACACAAACTGGCCACCAGAGGCAGCAGTGAGCCAGGCGCTCCTGCGTCCTGTGAGCTAAGATCAGAGAATTGGACTTTTGTGATGAGTGGGGGGGGGGAGGGGGAGGAGGTTCACAGACATGAAAGATGAATCCACTGGTCTGTCATTAATGAACGACTGACCACTTTGTTATTGAGCTGCAGTGTGTGTGTTTGTGTGTGTGTGTCTCTAACTCCCTGTCCCTTGTGTTTGTACAGAAAGAAAACAAGCGCTCCTCTCACAGCATGCAGAGACATGTGACTGTGCCCAGAGCGCTGTGTGTGTGTGCGTGTGCGTGTGTGTGTGTCTACACATGTGTGTGTCTTGGCATGAGCTCAGCAGTTTAGTACATAGCGTTCCATGCAGAAGTAGGCCATGTGACCAGACTCATTTAGTGTGTCTCCACAGATGGTTACATGTGTGTAACACACATGCATGTGCGTGTGTAACACACATGCATGTGCGTGCGTGTGTGCTTGTGTGTGTGTGCTTTCCTGTCCCTACATGAGGTCAGCACTGTAAGAACATTGTGTTCTCTGCAGAAGTAGGCCAGCAGTCACCTTGTGCGTATGTATACACACACACACACACACACACACTTATCATATTAAACATAAGTGTGTGATCTCAGTCAACATAAAATGGTCCGACTGGTTCCGTTGATTATTAGTGACGTGCGCACTCATGCGTACGTGCAGGTGTGCAGCAGACTGAAGATCGTGGCCCGAGGCGAAGGAGCAGGAAAACAAACCCATGACTGCGGAGAAGGAAGAGATGGAATCATTTGTCCGAACCACACTGATTGAAGTGTCATATGACTGCACAGACTTTGATTTGAAAAAACACAGAACAAAAGGGTCTTTCTTTTAATGAGGACAAAAATGTGGAAGTTTTTATTAACAAACTGCATCATGGTTAAAAAAAACAAAAGACAAACACTGAATCTTTCTTTCCAACGGGACGGGTCATGTCTGAGTTTGGACTTTAGGTTTGTTTTTTTTTTTTGAAAAAGGTTCTCCCTGGCATTTTTCATTCACTTAATTCATTCTTCCAAACCAGTCTTTACCTGAAGCCATACATACCCCTAGTGGTAAACCTAAAAGTGTCAAGTGGAGTTATTGAAATATTTTTAAAAAATTCAATTTGTCGTGAGTTTGTGGTTTGGTAGTTCCATAGAGTAGCGGTTAGCACGCTTGCCTCCTAAGCAGAGATTCCTGGGTTTGATTCCCAGAGGAATTGGACTCTGAGGTTATTCAGACATGATGTGGTCAATACATGACATCACAACACACATACACAGCTGGGCTAACAGCCTGGTGGTAAATGGTGTTGTGTTTGTGTGGAGTCACTGGAGGAATAATCGTTTTCTTTAGAACTTTGTCTCCACTGATCATGAACTCTTTCTCCACAGGGCCCAGAGTTAATCTGAGGCGCTGAGGTCTGAAAATAGCAGCGTAATCTGTGTTGTAATCTGGAATATTTGTGTTTCCCCGGACGCTTAAGCGGGGGGAGATAAAAGTCAGCATAGAGCGGCATTTACCCAGAATTCAACAGAAACTGATGAAAGACAAACATCTTCATCCTGTTCCTGAGGTGGAGACGCTGAGGAACCGGTTCTCTGGTCTCGTCGACACAAGAGAGAGAAGAGATGAAAGAGTTAGAGCTATATTAGCTAACATCTACACAGTCACACAGATACACATTCTCTCTGCCCTATGTGCCCAGCCCCGCCCCTCTCCCCTCCCTCCCAGTCGGCCATAGCTGGTTGAGCTAAAGCAGCTAATCTGGGTTAAAATGTAAACAGCTCTGACTTTGCTAGCTGAAGTTGCTCAGCTTTTAAAGTGTGTAATTCACATTTAATGTTTGAATTTTCATGCTTGTTATCGTATTTGGTTTAACCTGGCTAATCTGTCATGGGTATATACTAACACACACACACACACACACACACACACACAGTTGTCCATGACCTGTTCAGCCTTGACCTGTTACTGGTCAAAAGATAAAGAGAGTGCAGTCAGGTGATTTTACTGAGGTGTTCTGATTGGTTGTCGATGGGGTGTTTGTATTCATCATCACATCTTCAGATCTGAGAGTGTGTATACACACACACACACACACACACATTCATGCTTGTCTCCACCATGTGGCTGCAGTTGAGAACTGCATCTCTAATGAAAGTAAATTCAGAGGATTTCAGATTCACGTTGTTATGGTCAACTGTCGTGGCCTTCCCTCTGACCTCTGTGACCCTTGTGTCTCAGGAGTCTCCAGCTCCCGGAACACTCCCAGTCCCATCGATCCAGACTCCATCCAGGTCTCCACCGGCTACGAGCCTGACCCTGCTGACCTGGCTCTGTCCAGCGTTCCAGGTCAGGAGATGTTTGACCCTCGTAAACGCAGATTTTCCGCCGAGGAGCTGAAGCCGCAGCCCATGATCAAGAAAGCTCGGAAGATTTTCATCCCTGAGGATCTGAAGGTAAAAAAACTGAGGTTTTTCATTGAGGTCCAAAAGAGTTACTTTAATCATTTAAAAGTTAGTCATCTGTTTTATTAATAATGTAAAAAAGAAACTATGTTGAAGCAAAATACTCCACCAGTTAGTCCACCAGAGGGAGTAGTGAGCACAGACTGAGCTTAGGTCTGCTTCCTGAAGTAATTCTGTTCTCTTCCTGTCTCTTCTGTGCAGGATGATAAGTATTGGGCCCGACGCAGAAAGAACAACGTGGCGGCAAAGAGGTCACGTGACGCTCGTCGTCTGAAGGAGAACCAGATCGCCATCAGGGCCGGGTACCTGGAGAAGGAGAACACCGCCCTCAGACAGGAAGTAGCCGAACTGAGGAAGGAGCTAGGACGAACCAAGAATGTCCTGGCCAAGTACGAGGCCCAGCACGGGCCACTGTGAGCCCATGTAACGGGGCTCCTTCCTCATGTTTGACCACAGTCCTAACTTCAATCATGTTTTGGATGTGATGACATCATCATAGAACTTAAAGGGATAGTACAGGTTCTTAAATAGTGTGTGCTTGAATGAGGTGCTGTTTAAAGTATGCACAGACTGTGATTTGAGTGCCCCCTGGTGCTAGGCCTAGCCACACACGTAGGTTAGCTGTCAGTGAAAACACGGCTGCCATTTGGAACACCTGAAAAAAAGATTTTAGACTTTCAACAATAATTAAATTATTCTACACCAGCTCAAATCTGCTATTTTTGAAGATTCTCTTGACCACATTAACGTTTCCGACAGTCTCATTATTTCTTTAGAGGCACAGCTAATTAACTACATCAGAATAATTCAACTATTATGTAAATATTTCCACTGCGTCATCTCACTGTTAATCAGAATATCTCACCAAGAATATTAACTTCTTTCTTTACTTTCGCACGCCAAGCATTATAGGTGAAAGAAAAATACAAAAGTTGTTGGACAACTGCTGCCTCGTGTGATCAGTTTTTGTGACTGCAGTGAAGGAAAACAAATGATTTAAACGTCTGGTTAGAAACAGACATGTAGGAACATAGAGATGGAGGCAGCAGTGCTCCAACAACTGCTTTATTTTCTCTTTGGTTTTCTACACTAGTCCACCAAAAACCTCAGTCCTGTCTTATGGTCTAGTTAGAGCAGAACTGAGGAATCTTGTGCATGTTGTAATCCATACACTCACCAGCAGGTGGCACTTTTTCTTCTTTGTCGGACCATTTGTCGTGGATGGTGTAAACCAGACCTCTGTTCCTCTTAGTGCAATAGTTGCTTTGATTTAACGCTCATTGATAAGAGTGCCCCCCAGTGGCTGAGCAAGACATGAATGTACAAGGACGGAACCACTTTCTTTACTACAGACCAAAAACTAAAGCATATATATGTGTAAAAACAGACAGAGAGAATATATTGATATATAAAGAAATGGTTTTAATGTTTATACAAAGTTATTCTTGTTTTTGTACAAATCTGTTATTTCCTACGTCAGTTTTAAACCTCTATTTAAGATTTTAAAAAACCTTTATAAACAGTGGGGCTCAAGGAGGAGCCACGTCATTAGTTTTCTCCCTGTATAGTTCAGATACCTCAAACTCCGCCCCCTGCTTACCTGTCTGTGTTGCTCCACCCCCCTGCGTCTTTGTTCGGGTAGCCCCGCCCCTTTCTGATGAACTTTAAGGTTTTGTTGTTGTGTAGTTTTGTTGTTTTTTTTTTTACATAAAAGCTAAGAATGTGCACGACCTGAAGCACTTATTCACTTCTCTGTAATTATTTTACTGTTTTTTTTATTTTGTGCAGATATTTTTCAATTTATGATCCACAACAAACAATAAATAAAAACAGTCTTGATTTGTTGGTGTGTTCTGTAACAGAAGCAGACAGTAGTCCTACTAACTACAAGGCTGATACTGTGAGTTCAAAACAAACCCACTGCGTATTAACATCTTTGTTTTGCCTGGAACACTGTACAGAACGTTTTATTATCCGTTATATTTTGTGTGTTCTTTTTTTATTATTTGTGGTTCGGTTGTACGTGGAAATTAAAAGCCGGATACAGTAATCAATTTCATCATTTATTTTCAACCATGTAGTTCAATTTCTGAGCAGGAGAGGGCAGCAACTCTCCACTTATGGATGTTGTGAATGCGATGCCCTGTTTTGCCACTTACGTTAATTGACTCTGGGTTCATTTTTATTAAGTTATTTTATAAAATATAGAAACTGTCTATTTCGTCTATCAAAATCGTCCGATCTTTTGTTTCTTTTTTATTTAATTATAATTGACTCCAGTTAATCTGTCTATCCAGAAAGTGAAAATAGTAGTTTGTCCTGTTACAGCATTAACTACAACAGCAGGACAAAAGTAACTGATTCCTGGAACCGTTAAAAAGGCCAAGAACGAAGAGGGGACATTTAAGATTTAAAACTATTCTACATTCTGTGGCTGTGGAAGAAGCACTCACGTCAATAAAAGTAAAAAAAGAAAAGAAAAGAAACATTTCTTTGGCGACTGGTTGCTTGTTTCTCCTGTGAAATCTGGCCACACTCTTTGAAAACAGATAATGATGAAACTCGACAATCGTCAGTCCTGAGTAACTGAACCAGAGAAATCGATTGTTGTCAGACGTGGTCCTGTGAAAGTCAGGTAAGTCTTTTAACTGACGTCTAATTAGACAAACAGAAATAAAATGACGACATAAAGGACAGATAATGATATACCTAGTGTGTCAGTGTTTCTCGGCTCGTGTGTATGATTGTCTTCGACCAAAAAGGTAACATTTGACCAACTTTATTCTAACACAACGCACTGCTATCACGACTGGTCAGTTCGTGTCCGTTGGATATATATATATATATACTGGTCAGTTCGTGTCCGTTGGATATATTTAAGTGAATCAAGTTACTTTATAATGGAAGCAGTGGAAAAAGAAAACTCTTTTTGGTGTGTGGTTAAAATTGTGGATTTTCTCTATGGACATTTGTAGGGAAGAATACTAAAACACATTCGGTCTTATTTCTTGTTCATGTTGTATTCAACTTTAAAGGACATTTAATTTAGAAAAATGAAGTTAACCATCGTTTCATTGCTGCCTCTTTAACATATGTATTTATATTATTATTATTATAACTTCATTTCCCTCAGGGATACAAACTTACCACAGGAGGCAGCAGTGGGCCAGAAATCTCTCTTTTCACCTAAGGTTGAAGCAATGATGTTCTCTCTCAGCTTTTGTGTAGAAAATTCTGAAAGATTCAACGTTATGCTTCTATTTAAAATATCACTTTAGTTAAAATGTCCTGCCTTATGGCCCAAGTCATAAAATTATTATGCCCTTGTTGATACATTAAAATTCTAGCCATTTTTTCTGTGATTTGAAATCCAACTGTGACTTTATGGCAACTTCAACAGGCTGGTGTTTAGCTCCGCCCCCACAGCCTCGTGTCAGCATCAAAGAACAAACTATTGAGAACCTGAGTCTTACATAAACCCCAAACAGGAACCAACTCATAGCACAGACGCATGCAAACACACACATACACACACATTCCTAATAATCCATCATTTAATCCTCAGACATGAAATATGACAGAGGTGGAGCTACATGCAGCTCATATCAGGAATGGAACGCAGCCATTGGTTGGTGAATCCTGTTTATTTGATTGTTTTCACATAAAGGGATTTGTCCTTCTGTGGACCGAGTCCTCCATAGACCCAGTGTAGGATCAGCTGAGACAGGGCCAATCCGGAGTGAGGAGGTGGGCAGAGTATTTGTAGCTTATTTGGCAGAGTGGGAGAAAGAGAGATCAAATATTTGTTTTGTCTTTTTGAACGTTATAATCCCAACATTGAAGACAGAGGTCCTCCAGTGTTTGATTCCTAAATCGCAACATTCCCTCAGGTTTGATTAGGTCCTAAAAAACAGGGGGGAAAAACGAGACAAATGTAAACCAGGTGGAATGATGAACTGATGTTTAAAGATCTGTTTGTTGACTGCTGCCTCCTGTGGTCAGTTTGTGTAATTAAGGTAAAGCTGAATGTGTGATACTAGGAATTTGTTATTGTTTGACTTCTGTGTCTAAATTCTTTTTCTCATATTTATCTCGGTGACACAAACTGATAACAGAATATAGTAGTTGACCAACAGCTACTGTGTCCCTGTGAGCTAAAATCAGTGATTTTCTCTATGGACTTTGGTCTGAACTAAAATCACTGATTTTCTCTATGGACTTTGGTCTGAACTAAAATCACTGATTTTCTCTATGGACTTTGGTCTGAACTAAAATCACTGATTTTCTCTATGGACTTTGGTCTGAACTAAAATCACTGATTTTCTCTATGGACTTTGGTCTGAACTACAATCACTGATTTTCTCTCCATGGATTACTGTAAAATATCAGCCGTCCATTCATTATTTCTCCTTCCTCTCAGGTTTTGGTTCATCTCAGTGATGGGGTGGTCAGAGTCAGGATTGACAGGATGAACTGATTAGAGTTGGGGGAGGTGACATCACATCTGTGGCAGCTGCTCATGTTCAGCCATGCTGGCAGTAAATATTTTATAAATTTTTAATGCAAAAATTTTACTACAAGGTACAAAATTACTACAATAATAACTAGCACTAAATAAAGCACTAAAATGGATGAAAAGTTAGCTTACGGATATAATTGGTTTAACAGCGGTACACGTAAAACTTGGGCTAAGCTAGCTAACATAACAATTTATTTTTAAACCATTTTATGAACTTACTAATCAGTAACATTAAACTTTTCTTTTTACCGTGTTCTTGTGTTAACTTAAAAACCCAACAGTTTGTTCAGAGACAACACTAGGACACAGTTTCATTGTACTTCTTACCTCCTGCTAATGTTAGCATCCTACTGGTTCATTTGTCTAAAGAGGTTCAAAATAAAAACACAATAGTCCCACAGCACTTCTCAGTCCCTGGTTCCTTCTCCTTTTCGTCCTCCTTCTCTTCCTCCTCCTCTTCACACCAGAGTGCTCCTCTTCTCCCTCTCCCGGCCCAGTTCTGGTGTGGGCAGCTCTCCATGGGCCGCCATGTTGTCAGACTCCATGTGGGATGAAGCGGGTGAGTTCTGCATGACCACCAGGCGTATGGGTGACTGTCCCGGTGGTGGCAGAGCTGAGGGGGCTTCGTCTGGAGCGTACTCCTTGGTGGGGTCTTTGCCGCGGCAGTCGTAGAGGATGCAGGAGATGAGGAAGACCAGCAGGAGGATGACGTAGCTGGCCACCAGGATGATGAGATTCAGAGTGACTGGGTCAATCTCGAGGTAAAACTCCATGAAACCCATGGTGCCGCTTCATACCTTCACTGGGATCCAGAGTTCCAACAGGAGAAGTTACGGAGGTTGGAGAGTGGAGGGATGGAGACAGGGATGAACAGACAGGAGAGAGAGAAGAGGATGATGAACAGAGAGGATCAAGAGAGAGAGAGAGAGAGATGAAGAGATGAAGCTTTAATCCTCTGCTGCTGCTGCTGCTGCTGTTTGACAACCTTCTCTCCCAGGAAACTGACCTCTGTAAACCACTCACTCTCACACACCAGAAACCAGAGAGAAAATCAACAATTTTACACCACAAAAACAAGATAAAAAAAAGTCAAAACTCTTTAAGTCAAATGACAGTATTTGAAACATTAATTAAGTTTTTAAGTCTACAAAATAGACAAAAAATGTCATCTGGTCTAATGTGGACAGGATACACCATTTATTTGTACCAGGACTGTTGTAGCTAATGTTAGCTCTGGTGTCTGTACCAGGACTGTTGAAGCTAACGTTAGCTCTGGTGTCTGTACCAGGACTGTTGTAGCTAACGTTAGCGCTGGTGTCTGTACCAGGACTGTTGTAGTTAATGTCAGCTTCGTTTTATGTTGAAGTGATACTGTAGACTTAAAATACTGCCATGATGGCAGCTCACATCAGCTGTTGTTTTCTCTTTCCACTTGTATCTGGAGTGTGCCATCTAGTGGTTCAACCAGAAGGATGGGTAATACAGCATAAAGACAAAATAAATGTGGCTTTAATGCGGTCCAGGACCAGCCCAGGGCCACAGCTTGACAAAATCTGTGGTATTTACAGTACTGTTTGAAAAACTTTGCTTATGTATATCTGAGTGACACCATTGGACCACAGGAGGTAGCAGTGGATCAGATCATTTTCCCCTGTGTCTGAAATCTTCTTGTTTTCTCATTCATTTGTTTGAGTCCAAATCATAAACAGACAGAATGTGAAACATGGACTCGCTGACTCGTTTCCTGTTTCATTTCAACATCATGTTGTTTTTGTTAAGACCTTGTTGCTGCTCTGTTGTTCTACAATAACACGAAACATATGATGAGAACACCAGAGAATTCAGAGTTCTGTTCTGTTCACAGTTAAGCTTTACCATCAGCAGTTAGAGAAAAGAGAGCACCACCTGTAGGAACTCAAATGTATAGGATACAAGTGACTACACAGAATGTACTGTTCTCTACCACAATGAGGTTCATGGATAAAATCAGTTAATTTAGTGCATAAAGAGGCAGAAGCAGCTTTCCCAATGCTGCCTCCTGTGGTCAGTTTGTGTCACTGATATTTATTGAATGATAGTAGGCCTTTAAGAACTGTTCTCATAAAAACCACCTGACAGAGGCAGTGGTCCACAGATGGCTCCTATGTCGGGCTGGTTCTAGCAGCAGGGGGCGATCACAACACAGTCTGTGCTGACTGTAAGTGTCTCGTCTGAGAACACACATCTCTGTTCTGGACTTTAGATCCAGGTTTTCTCACTTTTCCCTCTGACCTTGGATCTTCTCTGATGACAGAACAATCACAAGTGTGTGTGTGTGTGTGTGTGTGTGTGAGTGTGTATGTGCCAGTGTGTGTGTTTCCTGTTCTCTGGCCCATCTCCTTTAATCGTGCCGATCCCCTGCCTCATTGCGTGCCAGGCTTGTTTCCGACCCAGAGTCTGGGGTGTGTTTAGGAGCAGTAGAGAGGGGAGGAGGTGAGAGCGCCACCTCCCTGTCACCTTTCTGGTCATTCAGCTGGTCACTGTGTTACAGGAAGGGAAGGGAGCGTCGGGATTTCCCTTCTGAGTGTTTACTCACAGAGTCTTGAGGCTGGTGTTGGTCTGTGGATGTGGGCGGGTCAGAACCCTGCTGTCTCTCCTCAGAACATCACAACACCCAGCTCACATTAATGTTCGAAAACAAACAAAATGTTCTAATCTGGAATGACTTTCCAGATTAGAACACGATAAGCTAACAAACACTGGCTAAACACGCTAACGTAGCAGGCTAACAAGTTCCTGATTAGAACCACTACTAAACTGTTCCAACAATTCTGGAGAAAGATGAAGTTCTGTCTGCTCTTCTGTTGGACCTCGGTCAGACTCACCATCAGCATCGGTTCCAGTTAGTTCCTTAGTTTAATTCCTGCTNNNAACTGTTTTACTTTATAATCTACTGTTTAAACTCTGAAGGATTCTGGCTGTTTCCTGGTCAAGTTTTATTTGTGTTCTTTATAGAAATATTTATGTTTCAATTATTCATCAAGTGGTGTATACAGTGCCCTCTTGTGGCCATATGTATGATGTGGGGTATATTTTGGTATATAAGTCTCTTTAGAATATAAATGTCAGAACCAGCCAGACTACTGAACAAAAGTGTGACACAGTCTTCGTGTTTTTTCTGCAGGAACAGCTGTAATGCCAACAAAGACCTCTTGGCGACGACAGAGCATTTCTGATTCTGACGAATTAAAACAGCACTATAGCTCTCTGATGGCCGTTCCACTGTGAGGGGTGAGTGGAGGATTTCTTTTTTTTGCCACTGGCTTTCTTGCCACTAGAGGTCACTGATTCTTACACACTAACCTTTTCACACATACATTTTTTTGACTTTATTGTCAAAATGCTACATGCTGTTTTTCACACACACTGCTCTTCAAAAACATTTCTCTTTCTCTCTCTCCTCCTCTTTTTCCACTCTCTGCTTATATCGCTCACCCCCTCTCTTTCCCCACACTCCCCACATTCCCAGGATGCTGCGCTCCACTGGAGATAAAGTTAGCGCTGCAGAAGTGACAACAAGTTTGTAAGCGTTACCCGTCACCTTCTCCTGCTCCTGCTCCTCCTCCGCCACCCTGTGACGCAATTCACCTCCGTTTATGATCTGGTCGTGTGTCTAAGGGTTGCTAGGCAACATAAACATAACTAAAAATATAACACAGAGCTGCCACAACTTTCCAGCCGACCTGCTGCTGCTGAGAAGAGCGGCTTCAGCATCTGAGGAGGTGGGAAAATAAACCTGAAGTTTAGTCCAGACCAGAGGGAGGTTTGATTGACAGAAGGTTGTCGGTTCAACATCCTGAGAAAAAGGACAAAGTTATCAAAACACAAATGAAATCATCATTTTAATTAGTGATTAAATTGGAAGAGCGACCTAAGTTTGACTTCACTTTCCTCTTCAAAAACATGTCTTACGTTTCATAGACTGCAGCAAACATGAATTTTATTAGTTTATTCTATATTTCTATACAAGTGTTTATAAAAAAAAAAAAACAGTCATTTGACATGACGGCAGACAGTAATCTTAGGACTGTAATGTTTTAAATATTTATTCAGATTAACCTCTAAAATATCAAGTGACCACAGGAGGCAGCAGTGGACCAGCTACATGAACTTACTCTGTTCCTGCTATTTTAAATGAAACCTTTTTTAGCCTCATCGTTCTGTTGACGAAGGTGCTTTAACCGTGATGTAGAGGAGTAGAATATCTTTAGTGTTACTGACTTAAACCCTGACGTTGGTTTGATTGATTTTTAGTTTTCTGTACAAAAGTCTATAGAGAAAAATCATCATTTTACACCACAGCAGACAGGGGTCGATGATCTACCGCTGCCTCAAACTTCCATCTGTAATTCAATTTTTTTTTAGATTCACCCCTTTTACACTAAGTTTCCACAGGAGGCAACAGTGGACCCACAGCTTCTGTGACCTGTGAGCTTAAATCTTTGGACTCTGTGGACCCTGGACTCTGTGGACCCTGTACTCCGTGGACCCTGGACTCTGTGGACCCTGGTTTTCGGTGATTGTTTTTTTTTTTTTATCAGATTCAAACTTTCAAACTTTTCATATCATATCATATATTTCAGATCAAATTTGTCTGTAAATAGTTTATTTAAGCTCATCATGACGGTAAAGTACCTTTAACATAGAGTTAGCAGCATTATTAACAGACACAATAAAAGCATCTGACTATAGCAATAAAATAAAAGTCTTGGCTCACAGAAAAGCTGTTCTTTAAAAACAAGTCCATTTGTCAGAGAAAAAAAGTATGAGGACATGTCTTGTAGAAAATCCAAGAAAGGGACAAAGTGCAGCTGTCCAGGAAGTTGTCTCTTATCTGGAGTCTGGAACATCAGAACGTGACCATCAGAACGTGTAGAAAACAGGTTCATGTTTCTGTCTGGTTCTGAACTGTGAAAAGTTTGTTTTGTTTTGGTACCAGAGCTTTGACAGGACCTGACGTCTTTGTCCACCACAATGACCACTACGGTCTTCAGTACTACAGGCTGTGAAGGCTTTGAAGAACTGAAGAGTTCTTTAGGACGAATGTTGAAAGATCTTCTACCTCAGATCCTGAGACTGGTGACAATCTGATGATCAGGAACCCTCGTGGACGTATGGGTGGGACTGCAGGTGATGGAGTCCATAAATGCCGATGTGTCCTTGAGTACATGGCACAGTTTATGTCTTTGTTGTGTTGTCCTCCATCTTAAAAACTAAATATTCAGATTAGCAGGATGAAGACAGAAGCAGCTAAACGACAACACTTCAGGATCTCACTTAATCTTAAGTTGTAAAAAGCGGCCCCTCAAACTGCAGTCTCCGGAGCTGAAGCTTCCTGGGTCAAAGATCTTCTGCCTCCCTACCGCCCCTCCCTTCCCCCAGCTGAACCTCACGCCACAGAGTACGCCTGACTGGTCACAAGTCCGGCCTGACTCTCCCTACGCGTGTCCATCTTCTTTTTCTTAAGCCGCAGCCTCCAGCAGATGGCGCTGGAGCCGAGCAGCCCCAGCCCAGCGGACAGCAGCACCAGACCCAACACAGAGATGGTGGAGCCGTGAGAGTTGAAGGTGTACGCCACCACCGTCACCACCACTCCAGCGATCAGGACCACCACACCGAACGGTACTGTGCAGCGGTAGCAGGACATCTCGGCGCCCCCTGTGGCGGCAGTCAGCTGACCCTCGTTGACGTGGGGGATGCGTGTCGTGATGAGGGTGTCCCTCCTGATTTTATCCCTGCTCCCATGGAGGGAGGATGGTGGCGCCCTCAAGGAGCTCCTGGGGATTCTGGGACCACCTTTGCCGTGGAGTCCATCTGGCATGCTGAGCTTACTCGTGAGGAAAAGGTGCGCCATGGTGATGACAGAGACGTCAGCCAATCAGAGGACAGGGTCTTTAAAAACAGAGAAGATAATGAGTACAAGTGGAGAAAAGTAAGGCTAATACTACTATAATAACATGAGGCTATCTCTTAGCTATCCTTAGCATACTGCTGACAGGTCAGCTGAGGTCACTGTTGGATGGCTTTAATATTTTGACTTCCATAAAACAAATGAACAACACTTTATGTTTTGAATATTTAAACAGGAAATGAGTCTCAAACTACACACCCTGGCACAGCCAATCCTGACTGACACACACACACACACAGACACACACACACATCTGGTAGATAAGTTCTGATGATGCAGCTTATGATCCAGTTTCAATAAATAAACCTACTGTGAGTCTGCAAATTCTCCAGGACTCTGCCTGACTTCCCAGGACTTTGTGAAATGTTGTTGGACTCTGAGGGACTCAGAATATTCCTCCTGGATCCTGAAGAATGTTGGACTCTGCAGGACCCACTTTGTCTCTCCTTCACTCTGCTGACTTCTGCAAACCTCTGTTGGACATTCTTCTTCTTCTTCTGGATTATTGTAGACTGTTCCAGTCTCTAATTGATTATGTCCTGCTGGACTCTCCTGGACTCTCCTGGTGTTTTCTGGACTCTCCTGGACTCTCCTGGTGTTTTCTGGACTCTCCTGGACTCTCCTGGTGTTTTCTGGACTCTCCTGGACTCTCCTGGTGTTTTCTGGACTCTCCTGGACTCTCCTGGTGTTTTCTGGACTCTGCTGGACTCTTACGTCCTCACTGTGGTGGGGGTGCAGCAGCTCTCTCCTCTCTGCCTCTGTCTCTGCATCGTCTCTACTGCAGGAAGAAGTGAGGGAATACAGCTATCAATAGAAGGAGGAGGGGGAGGGAGGTGAGGAGGCCCCCCCCCCTCCTGGTCTCCTCCTGCTGGACGAATGAGGAAAATTGTTAACTCTTTCCTTCCTTAAGCTGCTTCTGGTTGATGAAGATTCAGTCGAAATGTTAAGAAGTTTTGCATCTTTATTATTTATTATTTTATACTTTATTATTTGCATCTTTTTGAAGTCTGAAGGTTGCACACTAATCTGACATTCACTGTAATGCTGAAGGTGGCGCTCTGACCTGACATTTGATCTTAACAGCAGGGCCATAGGCAGGATAAAGTCGGTCGAGCAGACAATGTGACTTTCCCACAGCTAACTGTTAGCTCTTTTTAATAGTTCAAAGCCAACCTCTGACATCCTTGGGCAAAACTCACAGCCATCATTGATAATTTAGCTAACTGTCAAGCCAGCCTTAGCATATCTTTTTCTAGCCTTCAGTCATCTATTAGCTCCTTTTTGACCAACCTTGTTTTTTTTTGTCAGTTAACCGCGTTTTAGCATTTATTACTGTTTAAATCCCTTCAAACTTTGAACAAAGATTAGTCGTCCTTTGAGTTATCTTTTTCTTTTCGTTTCCCGGGTTTTTGAGGACGTCAAAGAAATCGGACATTTTCATCGACAACCTCTGAAAGGCCTTGTTGTTTTTCAGCAGTTTCTGCGAAGACTCATATTTTCACAGTGACAAAGTGAATTTGAATTCATCTCCAGATCACAGGAAGTCATTGTGCACATCTGAAAGTGTTTGAGTCACATGATTACTCCCAGAATCCCACAGTTCCCCTGGTGCAACCTCCACCCTGCAGCTGGAAACCAGGTCACATGTGGGTGGAACCAGCTGAGCTGCAGCTGGACCCTGTTTATGGTCCAAGACCAGAGACTCGGAGTACAAACTCTCTGTATGTCCTTCATCCTTAGCTACACGCAGTTCTTAAAGTTGGCTAAAAAAATACAAACATGAACCAAAAGATGTGTCATGAAAAACTGGAAAAACAGATTGACAGATTCAAGTAACAACTGGGATAAATATGATTTTTGTTTTATTGTTGGTAAGTCTTTTTGTAAAATTCCCACCTTGTCCTCTTGGACACATCTGGACCCGACTTTAACAAAGTTGCTGCATGTCATGCTGTGGGGTCAGTGGAGGTCAGCAGGGGACTCCACTGAGCCCTGTGATCCAGGCTGCATGATGTCCAAACCCCTAATATGACAAACAAGTCTAAAGTTTTTTTCTGACATCAAATTTTAATTGTGATGCATTCAAGTGCTCCTTGAACACAGTGGTTGAGGATGGATTTGAATTCCTTCCTTCCAGAAATTGAGGGCAGGTGTTAAATCGCTTCCTGGGTTTGGGATGATGCATCTCTGGGGACGACCTGTTTTTCCCGTGCAGCTGACGCTGTTTCACTTCTACGTCTGTTTTTTTTCTCATCCTTCCTGCGAGTGCAGGTGCGTTCGAGGAGCGGCATCCAAACCACTGCTGTGTAATCTTTTTTTGTTTGTTTTTTTTTTTTTCTCCAGCTCTGGAGCCAGTGGAACCGTTGACTTTGCATCTTTGTAGCTTAACGAGGACGAGTTGTTACTAAGAAAGAAATGACTAAAATAAGTGTGTGGTCACATGAGGTGTTCACTGACCTTAAACACCTGGAAAAAAAACTTTTCAGATTCTTGGCTCAGTGAAAACAGTGAGTCAGCTTTTTTTCTGACAAATCCTGATGTTGCTAAAATTAAAGCTGCACGAAGCAGCAGTATCACTGCACCTGTTTGTGCTAAAATAAAATGGAAACATTAAAGAAGGTTAATTTGATGAAGAGATTAAACAAGTTCAACACAAAATTACCTTTTTGTGACTTTAGGATAATGTTAGCTTGACTTTATGGTTGATTTCTGAACAAAATTGGTCATCTTTTTAGCTTTTAATGTTTTGTTAGCTGAAAACGTAGGCATATCTTTGGCTAGAGGATAGCCAAGCATTAGCTGTAATGAACAAAACTTCATCTAAAAATGACCAAGGTACAATTAAGCTAATTGTTAGGTAAAATATTATGTGGCAATCTAGAAGACAGCCACATGTAAGCTACACGTAGGTAAAATATTATGTGGCAATCTAGACAGCCACATGTAAGCTACAAATTAAAAGAAAAGAAATCAAATGGTGAATGATAACTGTAAGCTATTCCAAATGTAGCTAAATAGAAATCAAAAGGCTGACTAGGGTATTAGGAAAGAAAAATCCACAAATGTAAAGAAAGAAGAAAAATATGGAGGGGGAGGGAACTCCAGGAAGTGATCCCATAATTCCAGTGTTTCCATCCAGGATCCATCATCATGTCAGTCATTACCTCACTTCCTGCTGCTGCCACAGCTCTGGAGAGATGACAGGATGGACTCCCAGTTCAAAGGTCAGAAGGTCACTCAAAACTCCTGTTCATGGTGCAGTTTGGACCCTGGTCATCGAGTCTGACCATTCTACAGTTCCCATCGGCCACTACTGCATCACCACTACCTGTGGTGATGACCAGCTCATGTTCAGTTTGTTATCATTTGGGAAGTTGATTTTTATTTCACTTTTCTTTACATATAATCTCACTCCGAAATTGTATCTTCAAGTCCAAAATCAATAACACTAGGTGGCAGAGTCTCAAAATCTTAAGTCTTCAATGTAGTTTCTGATGTTTTAGTCTGAGATACTTCATAAGATAAGATAATTCATTTCAAATGTGTTTTATTGATGCTTGAATTCTGTAATTAAATATTTGTATTAATTAAAATATCTGAATTATGAATACAAATTATTTTGATCTTAATTCTAACCAAGGACATTTGTAAGAAAGAAGAAAATCCCTTTATTTGAAAACATTTCAAACGTTTGTTTTGAGCTAATTTTTGAGCTTGTTTCCTTGAAAATCTAAAGAAAGTGTGGTTACATGTTAATCTACTGTCGTTATTTACTAAATGATTTCAAATGTTTCACTGTTGTAGAAGTTACGTATTTAACGCGGTATCCTGCTTTCTTCTGTTCCGCTTTAGAAATCCTTGTCTTTAGCAACACTGTCATCTCGCGGTGCCGAGGGGAACTGCAGTATAAGCAGACGTTTCTGTCATATATCCCGGTCTGGTGCGCTTACATTCACAGAAGCTGTTTTCTGATTGGCTTAACACAATTAATTACCACTGCTTGGTGCCAAACTTATGAGAACAAATTTATGAAATTCAATAAAATACTGGAAAAATAACGGGGATCAAGTTAAGAATGTCGTTATACGACGTTAACTTAGTGAAATTTAACGTAAAGAAGTTTAAATTAATGAGTGAGTGCAACACTACTGTCTGCATGGCCGTGTCACGACGTACCCTGGATTGTATCCTTCCGCAGAATCAACATCAGTGGAATAATACTTCAAATAGTTTTTTTAACGGTATGGAATTGTGTTTTGGAGTTTCTGTTAGGTCACTCTGTTACCTGAAGTTCTCTGGAAAATGTTGAATCAAGTATCTTGTTTTGGTGTGGGTTAAAAGTATTGTTGCAGCTCTGAAACTAAAGCAGCTATAGCAGCTAACTTAGCTACACAAACGTTTATTGACTTCTCATCACACTGAGTTAATGCGGTCATTACGTTTCTGTCTGTTTTCAGCCAATCAACGCATGACATTACGTGTGACGGAAGACGGAGCTGCTGATACAAATCATCGTAAAAATGACGAGCGCGCCGCTTTCTTCAGGTAAAACTTTTTTTATGCGGTTTAATATACACCGTTAGTAAATGAGTACTAATTAATGGATTATGTTCAGAGTGTAATTGGATATGAACGACAGTTATCATCAAAAACCATAATTTTAGCCGCTGCTTTGAGAGAGAGCGAGCTTAAACCAGTGACGTCACCATGGAGTTCGGTTTTGGAGAGTCACTTTCCGAGAGTGGCTGTAATTAGAGTACAATTTAGATTTTCCTGCCGCTCCTCCTCTTCCTCTGCTCCTCCAGATGTGTCTCGGCTGCAGTGAAACCCGAGCTGTGATTGTGGAGCTTCAGTCAGTGCGTGAGGATGTTTGTCAGGCAGCAGGAACACAAAGACAGGAGTCCATACTGATGGTTCTGCTGAGGGAGGAAGAGGAGGAGGAGAAGAGGAAGAAGAAGAGAGAGAAGAACGAAGAGGAGGAGAACTCCACTCAGACGGTACGGTCTGCTTGTTAAAGAGCTAAACTTTAAAGAACCTCTCAGAAGAGCCAGCGTCTTCACCGGTCTTTACTTAAGGTTTTAGTTACGTTTGATTAAAACTGCAGCCGTACTCTTTTTAAAACTGCCACTGTCACCAAACGTCACTCACAAACATTCGCCACGTGTAGCTACTCTGTAGCGCCACCTGTTCAATCACAACTGCGCGAAACTAAAAAGTTGCCAGTTTAAATGAGCCAGTTCTTAGTTGCTGTGATTGTTAGCACTGAAGGAATGCTCGCAGCCAGCTAACATGCTAACACTGGCATGCAAGTTGCTAGGTAGCATGCAAACAAACCAGAAAAACCAAAACTTATAAAACGTATAGAGTTCAAACCAATAGACTAGATAGAGAGCAACTTTAACGGATGCTTACGGTAAAAGTGAGACTTGAAGAGTCAATATTAGTGAGAAGGTCAAGTTGTGAGTTAGTAAAATAGTTAGTGTGAGTTAGTGTGTTTGTGGGTGTAAACAAGTTAGAAATGATCAGAAGTTCACTACTGAACAATATAATAGGCCAAGCTAGCTAATGTTTGTGTTTTTAATCATCTGATAACTAAGGTATAAACTAGTTTAAAATACTAAGAATTGTTTTGTGCTGTCAAAGATATTTGTTAGTTAACTGACAAATCAATTAGCTAAATTGACAATTAACTTTCAAGCTAAGGTTAGAAGCTGGCTAATGACCTGACGTTATCAAACAAACAGCTAATGTTGTGAAGTAAAACTAAATGTTCTTAGGTAAGTAGCCACCTAACAAGCTAAAGGACTAGTGCTGCAGACTGACAAGCTAATAATCAAAATGCATTCATAAAACAAGCAGCTAATTTTTTTTTATCAGATTATAGCTAACAAAATAGTCTTTAACACGAATGGTTCCAGTGTCAGTACTGTTGAGTTCCTGTCCTGGTCTTTACAGATATGGCTGAAAATGTCTGTGGGCTCTGAAAATTCCTTTTTTCTGCTGTCACCGCGAGACTCCAGGACTTCCTGTATTTTCCAAACAGCCGACGAGAAAGATGATCTTCCAGGAGATGAAAGGTGAGGCATGAACCCCACATGGGCTACAACCGTTAGCGAAATCCACGTGGTCCAAGTTTGATTCCTGGTTTTCCCTGGTAATGTCATTGTATTCCCAAATTCTTCAGGTTAAGACCAAAGTTCTTAAGATTGAATCCTGTTTGTTCACAGGTTAAAGTACTGTTTTCTCTGTATAATCTTGGTTTAATCACAGGTGAAGTCCAGCTTTTCAAATGTTTGATGCTGGTGTTCTCTGGTTAGGTTCTGATTCTTCCAAGTTCAATCCTTAACTTCACTGGTGGAGTCCTGGAGACCACAGTTTAGGTCTTGGTTAGCCAGGGTTTGATCAGGTTTGGTCATGTGGGCCTCAGTTTTGTCTCCTCCTCAGTGTCCTGGAGATGCTCAGCTGTTCCAAGTTCTCGGACCTGGAGACCTGGCTATGTATGCCGTCCTCCTTGCTGCTGCCCCGGTCCGTGGACTCGGCCCACACCTCCTCTTCCTCCTCTTCCTCACATGTGTCTGACCATTCCAACAATTCCACGCCAGTCTCTTCATCTTCCTCCCCTGCCTCCAACTCCAGAAACTCCACCTGCAGTGAGCCTGGAGACAGAGATGCTCTGCTCAGGTAATCCAGTCCAAGGTCTGCTCCACAAGATGATTGTTGTACTTTAAAAATCAAAAATCCTCACTAGAATCACTAGAACCAGCAGTGGTTAAAACTCTGGCCCCTCCTTTAGTCGGTCACAAGTGTGTTTTCTGATGACTTCTGTTTTTGAAATTAATTTTAGATTTACTGTAGTGACACAAACTGACCACATGGAGTTCTAATGCCCTTTTGAGCTTAAATTTCTGAATGTCCCCATAGACTTTGGTATGAGAGAGTTAGTGGTTTTATTTTCCTGCCTCTGAAGTCGTGCTCACAGTGAGATTTGAACATGAACCTCCTTCAACCAAAGTGCTGCTGGAACTTTTTGAAGCTCTCAGTGAATTGTGTTTGGTTTGTTGTCAGTGGTGGGTGAATAAAAAGCTGCAGTATTTTAGGGAGAAATATGAGCGAGTGTGTGTGTGTGTGTGGGACTGACTCAGAGTAAATTACAGTGTGCGTGTGTGTCCATGGTGATGTGTTTGAGGTTGCCAGGAGAGTCGGCGAGTGTTTGAGGTGGTTGGAATCTGCACCTCAAACCTTACTTAACCTTACTTCATCATAAAAAATCCTTCACAGTCACATTCAAACAGAATGTGACTGTGAAGGATGGTGGTGGTGGAGGTGACCACCAACTTAACCGCAGCAGTTTGACCTAAAAAAAGAAAAGTGTTGAAGAAGCTGTGGTTGGTCCTCCGGGAGAGCGCCGCCCTCCACTACTACTGCTGCTGCAGCAGAAAAAAATAGTTCCTTCATCAGAGCAGATCGTAAGGAGTCTGTGTGTGAAGATAAGGAAGAGGCCAGTGTTTATGGAGCTAATGTAAGGAAGTGTGGTCTCACACACACATAGATTAAAAGAGTGATTAGGATGTTTGTCATTCACTCTGCCACACCAGAGTCCACAGAGAAAATCAGTGATTTTAGTTCAGACCAAAGTCCACAGAGAAAATCAGTGATTTTAGCTCAGACCAGAGGCCATAGAGAAAATCAGTGATTTTAGTTCAGACCAGAGTCCATAGAGAAAATCAGTGATTTTAGTTCAGACCAAAGTCCACAGAGAAAATCAGTGATTTTAGCTCAGACCAGAGGCCATAGAGAAAATCAGTGATTTTAGTTCAGACCAAAGTCCACAGAGAAAATCAGTGATTTTAGTTCAGACCAAAGTCCACAGAGAAAATCAGTGATTTTAGTTCAGACCAAAGTCCACAGAGAAAATCAGTGATTTTAGTTCAGACCAAAGTCCACAGAGAAAATCAGTGATTTTAGTTCAGACCAAAGTCCACAGAGAAAATCAGTGATTTTAGTTCAGACCAAAGTCCACAGAGAAAATCAGTGATTTTAGTTCAGACCAAAGTCCACAGAGAAAATCAGTGATTTTAGCTCAGACCAAAGTCCATAGAGAAAATCAGTGATTTTAGCTCAGACCAAAGTCCATAGAGAAAAACAGTGATTTTAGTTCAGACCAAATTCCATAGAGAAAATCAGTGATTTTAGTTCAGACCAAAGTCCATAGAGAAAATCAGTGTCATTTCCTTGTTTGTGCCCCCTGCAGGTTTTCGCTGAACGACTCTGCCTTTTTTACGCCATCCCTGGGCAAGGGGGGACTGTTTGTGTCCACACCCCACCTCCCTCTCCACTCCTCTACCCCAACCTCCTCCTCCGCCACAACCAGCTCCACCTCAGTCATCTCAGCAGGAGCCTCTACCTCCCCGAGTGGCGTCAGCATCAGAAAACGACGTCGGCTTGCAGCCAGTCCTGGAGGTCTGCACTGGACCTCGGCAGGTGGGACAACAGTTACACAACAGTTCCAGTCCCACGGGAAGTTTGTTTTCAACTTAGAGACGTCTGTGGACGTGCTGTGATGTGAAGGATATGCCACACACACAAACACACTGACAGTGTTTACAGTTGACTTCCTGTCTCACTCACACTGTAGTGTAGCTCCACCTTCCTGGAGAATGTTAATGATCTTCCTGTGCAGCAGATTAGAAGGTTGGGCTCATCAGGTCCATCTCTTCCTCCTTCACTTCATCAACATGAACATTTGTTTGGTTCTATGGAACACTGCAGCAGCAACTGGATGCAACCACTTACTAAGGAAAACAAAAGCAAAATTCCTACAGCAGATAATGATGAGTTTGTGGAGAAGAAGAATGTCTTTGTCTTCTGGCTCTCTCAGGCTCCAGAGGGCTAGATCTGTTGTTTGGATTCTTCTTCTCCAATAGTATGAAAATAGTTCCTCCACCACACTGACACCAACTGTGGGAGGGGTCAGCTCAGTTTGTCAGTTTGTTTTTCACCACAACACAAATAATAATGAACTACTGCAATACTGTACTACATGTACTTCAGTGTTACGTCAGACAAACACGTTAGAATAATCACTGTGAATTAAAAATGAAGCTGAACTAGTGCAATGTGGAATTTCGTCCACCAGATGGCACTGTGCCATCAGCTTTGCGAGCAACAAATTCCTGTCAGCTCAGACTTCCAAACATCGATCAGTTTAAAAAAAAAACTGCATTTAAGATAAATATTCGTCATCTTCTGACATTTGTTTAAAACACAGAATAAAAATGAACATTATTTTATGAACTAAACTCAGTCTGTCAAGAAAAGCATTGATTTTTAATTATTGAGAAACTGGAGATGTTCATTGAGTACACTGTCAACGCTTGATTTCATTTGATTTTACTGATGATGGTGATGTTAAATCAGCAACATCTGAGTGAGATTACCACTATAATAACATTAAATTATTATATTATAAAAGTAGAGATTGTTAACCTCCAGGTCCATGTCATCAGCATCCAAAGAGCAAAATAATTAGGAGACACCAGCGTTAACTTAATATCAACTGTGACTTTTTCTCCTGGCTCTCCACTGGAACCACCCTCTGAGTCTCAGGCTGAACTTTCTCTTCAAGTTTCAGTGTCATGACAACAACACTCTGTTCTGCCTGTCATGTAATTTTAATGCAGCAGCTCAGGTCGTCGCCAGACACCTGATCTCACACACAGACAGTGAATGAATGGTCACATGACACCAGTTGACCTGAAGGAAGCTGAACAAAGTTTTTAAGTGCTACGAGACGTTCATGAAACGTCTGACACTTTGGTTTCCCTTTTTTAATTCCTATATGTATTTTCAACCCCTCTGATACCGTGTCTCTGTGTGTGTGTCTGTCTCACTGTCTGTCTCTCTGCCTGTTTGTCTCACTGTCTGTCCCTCTGCCTGTCTGTGTGTGTGTCTGTCTGTGTGTTTGTGGGTGTACAGTAACAGCAGCTCTTCTCTGGTTTCTCTGTTCCAGGTTCGGTGCAGCGTGACTTCTGGTCACCTGATCCGTCTGCGGGGTCCACTGTTAGCGCAGCATCAACAGCAGGAGGTGGAGGAGGAGGAGCAGCAGCGAGGAGCCTCCCTCAGGTGGAGGTAGATGGATCTTCACCAGCGTGGGTCAGCGAGCGAGTGGCCTTGAGGAAAACGGTCTCGGTCGACGAGCGACTGCTGCAGCCGTCTAGTGGAGAGCAGCGACGTCTGAGGCTGCTGAGCCGACTGGAGCGAGGCAGGAAGAAGCTCCGCAACATCCACGTAAGTGTCCGTGACGTTACTGTATTTGTAGATGATGTTTGATTGTATTTAGTAGGTGTCAGTCCTCCAACCATTCTCTTGTATTGAGCATTCATTTCCAACAGGGGGCGAAAAACAGCAAAACAAATGGATTTTGGAGTTAATTTATGGTCTTGGTTCAATATTTTTACACTATTGTTCTTCTTTAACTTCTATTTAAAACAACTGGCATAGTTAGTCTCCAATTAGCTGCCCACTCCTCCCCCCGCCTGCACCCACCCGGAGATACAACAGGTAAAGTCAAGCCTGTACCACCTTCAAAATATTTTTTTTATATTTCCGTCTATTAATCTTAAAACAGACTCTTATTGTGATAGTGAGCATCCAGTCAAGCCTTTATTTTGAAAAGACACCTACTTGATTGTGTAACATTGTGGAGTAAACAAACACTGGTGCTTTTGTTTGAGACTGATGATATCTGGACAGCGTTTTCTTTAGACAGTGTTTGTGTTATTATTGGCCTGGATAAAGAAAAAATCTGACATATTTTGAAAATATCAGTATTTCCTGCTCCAGTGTGAACCAACAGAAATGAAAATATAAATTTAAACACCAATAAAGTATCTCTTATTTTGAAAGACTACAGTGTTGAGGCTTAAAGTGGACCAACAGTGACTGAGAGATTCTTTTGAAATGTCCACGGAAGGACCAATCTGCCTGTGGGACAGATGGACTGTCCCAACACACCTTTAAATAATGGCACAGGAAACAAAGAATAGGAGCTGAAGGTGCAGGTGAATTAGGACAGAAGATGAAGGATCATCAGAGACCACGTGGACCGTCATGGTCCAGGAACAGCCTGGTCTTCTTCTGCTCCAGTGTGTCAGTAAACAGAAGACGTCCAGGAGACTCAGGCAGCCGAGTGTCTCCACAGAGACACAGACATCTTCTCGTCCTCTCTGCGGCTGTTGATGGAAATTTCTTTTCCCAGCAGCCTCTGGGTGTGAGGAGGCCTCAGCAGGTGGTGGACCAACTGATGAATAATCCAGGAGAGGCGGGAGCATCAGTCCATCCTCCATGACTCAGCTCTGTCAGTGACTCCCAGCCGTCACAGACACTCAAACTACTGAATGATGAAAATAATAACGTTAGGTGTAAAATGCTATGAGACTATCACGCTGGTTTTTCTCTGCAGCTCCAGCAGAGGGAGCCGTTTCCCCTGTTCTCCGATTTATTCCTGACGACACTAGTGTAGCGTTACATGACAGGAGCCAGTGGTTATTAACAGTCTTTACTAATCTGTTTAACTACATGAATTCTCACCAGTCACACATCTTAATCTCTGCTCAGACCACAGAAATTCCGACTGATGGGTGCCATCTCATTTACAGGCTTCCCATTGGCTGACTGCGATGACCAGTTACTGTTGTGATTGGTTATTTGCTGACAATTGACTTGTATTTGTTTGATTGGATTGAAAGTGTGTGTTTGTTGCTGATTGTTTATTTTTAGTGGATATTAGGTCATTAGATGTTAGTGACTGGTTATTGATGACTGGTGATTGGTTGGTTGTTAGTGGTGAGTAGTTTAAATGTGATTGGTTTAAAGTAATTGTGTTTTAGTCACTGGTTGTTAGTGACAGGTTGGTTGGTGATAAGATAAGCAGTTTGATGGTTGGTGATTGATTGGTTATGGTTCATGATAATGTTGGTGTTGGTGATTGATTTTTTTTTTATAGCTTCATAATTGTTTGTTGATAATTCACCTTTGTTGAATCTGTGACATCAGCCTCAAACCAGTTGACCTTTAACAAGTGGCAGATGTTGACAGGGTTATTATAGTTATTGTTAATGAGTGGTTGATGCTGATGAATTAATTTTAGGGATGTCCCACATTAACTTTTTGCAGATATTCAATATGCTAATATTGTCCAAACACTTAATTTCTGATTCCGATATGAACCAGTACCGATATAGCTGGGCAGTGGTGGAAGTTAAGAGTTGTCTGCTCACTAAGGTTTCTCATTTATTTTCTGCCATGCGCCCCCTAGGGGACAGAATTAAACTACTGTTGAGTGTCTGGTAATATTTATTGATTCATCTGTACAAACCACTGTAACAGTTGCTGGCACCAGCGTTCTACATACAATCCTCTGATTATCAACAGAGATTAATACAATGAGCTGCAATGCTGCCATCTAGTGACTAGAGGCTTGTTTCAATAAAAGTTCTTCAGAGCTCTGAGTCATCTGCCTGATTTTTAGAGCACACAGTGGTGAGACAGGGTGTGTGTGTGTATGAGGAAGAAAGGGTGTGAGTGGAGGAAAAGGTGTTTTTGGAGAAGCTGGGTTGATAACAATAAAGGAGTTTAGGAGGAGTTACTGCAATTGTGTTTCAATAAAAGTCCGTAAGAGCTCTGAGTCATCTCACTGGATTTTAGAGCACGCATCATTTGACGAAACCCAGGTGTTGCATTATCGGGTTTTCATTATTGGAGGAAAAAACGTAAACGATTCTTACAGATAATACAAAATATACTAATATTGGGCCGATAATATCATCCCTAGTGAATTGTGCTTGGTTTTGTGAGGTTTTGGTTGTTGGTGATTTCTGATTGGCTGTTAGTAACTATTTAATTGTCATTGTTTCATTGGTTGTGGATAATTGGCTTACTATTGACTATATGGTTGCCTGTCTGTGATTGGCCCATGATGTTTGGTTCTTTATTGATGACTGTTTGATGACATGAGTTAACTGTTTGTTGGCAGTTAACTGTCTGACAGTAACAGGCTGTTGATTGGCCTGTGATTGGCTGCGGGCCTGATGAGGTGACGTGAGGTTAAAACCCTGTCTGTTCTCTGGCGTCTGTTCACTGTCATTAATGACATATGGAATAGAAGTAAATGTGTCTACACATGGAGCCCAGCACAGCACTGGCACTGTGTGTGTGTGTGTGTGTGTGTGCGCGCGCATATGAGTGTGTGTGTGTGTGTCCTGTTTAGTCTCGCATGTCTCTCGGCTTCGCTTGCTCTCCGTCCTCGTCGGCCGACGCTCACAAACACTGGCACAGTGGTGTATTTAGCCGCCACGCTCCCGCGGGGCTAATCACATCAGGGCACAAGTCAAGAGAGTCTTTCTGAGGGCCATTAAAAACTGCTGCTGCCATTGCTGCTGCTGCTGTTGCTGCTGCTGCTCCATGAATCAGCCTCCATGAAATATTAGCTCCATAAATTCAGCCTGCCATCTTATTACTCCTAATCCCTTAAAACAACACGCTGCCGCCGCCCAC